CAATTCCTACTCAAGAATAATGAGTTAAATAAAACCTTAAGAGCTTAAGAATACTTTTTTCCAGATTAAAATACACATGAATACAAATAAAAATATTAGAATAATAATTACTTAAAACACATATTAGTAATTGAAATTCGCGACATAACAAAATAGTACCCTTATGGGTAAATTAAAATTTGTATTTTAAATTGCTAAAATATGTTTTCTCTTGGTAATGTCTGGCAACTTTCGATAAATATGGATAGTTTGAGAATATTTATTAAAAATCGCGTAGGCTACGAAACAGCATCCGATAAGTATTTTTTTATCTGTGAAATATCGCCAAGGTGGTTGTGCTATTACGTAAGTGGCAAATAATCTTGATCAAACAGTTGTACATCAGAATGAACTATAGTAATCTGCTTTATCGCCGTGGTTTCTGAAGTTTCCAAAATATTAATTTAATTATGAAAAACACTTATTTTTTCAAGATACTAAAACAATCTCCAAATGAAATTTGTGGCTAGCAAGCAAATAAATTTTACATGTACTTGTGTATAGATCGTCGAATATGAAACCGTTGCTAGGCAACACGAGTTTGAGCTAATTATGATTAATTGAGACATAATAACACACTCACAACATGTGCGTTTTGGTTTGAGCTAATTATGAATAATTGAGAAGTAACAACATGTGCGTTTTGGTTTAATGTAACTCCGATTAATTCTCGATATGCCACATTTTGTTGGTATTGTTCTGTTTCTAGAACCGGATTCTGAAATGTACGTATGGATATATGTGTTCATTGTGTGCATGTATAAACACGGATGTATGTGTGTGCATACATATATGCACATACGTCTACATATGCACGCGCATACATTTTTAATCCGGTACCGGTAACAGAACCGTAACCTTCTGATTTTATGAACGAAGATAAAAATTAACTTTTATTTCTGTATTTATTTTCTTGCATTTTTGAAAAAAAAATGTGATTAAAATTTTGAGGCCTGCGTTCTACAGAACAGCAATCAGTGGGTTATTCTCAAAGTTTCGGAATCTTACCATAAAAATGTATATTAATGGACGCGATATTATCAGCTGAATCAGCTGAATATGACACACAAAAGAGTAATATACTGGAACAATAACCTAAGGGAAGTTTGCACACATAGCCTTCTAAACAGAGCTTCTAGTAAATAGGAAGTCCTAAAAAATAATAGAAATCGACGAAAGCATTTTTAGGAAGCTTAAAAACAATATAAATCAAATACTAGTTGGTTGTTAAATAAAGAGTCGTCAATTTCTTTAGAATTCCGCAGGAACACAATTGGCAATGTTGGTAAACTTTGGCGGAATCTTTGGTAATTTCCATGGTTCAATGTTAACAAGTTTTCGCGGTGTTAGGTTGAATTAAAATTTAGATAAACTTAAAAATTATGAATTTTTTGAACTGGAAAATTTGTGTCATATAAATATATTAAAATGGATTTTCATAAGATTTGAAATTCAGAAACTAATAACTGCAGCTAAACTAAATTCAGAAATTGTGTGAAGCAAATTATATCAATCCAATTCAAACACTTTAAGTCAAAATGATTGAGATTGAAGTGAGAGAATATTCTCTCTGATGTCTTGGTATAAAATAAAAAATATTCTCTTTCAGTAAAAAATTAAAGCGCAATTCGTTTTCAAATATAAAAATAAAATCTTCCTTCAAAACAATGTTTTCCTGAAGACACGTAAATCTCATACACAATAATTCCTAAACTCTAGCCATAATCTCCTTTCCTACAAATGCAAATACTAACATTTCAAACACCAGGGAAGAATAATCCAAACAAGTGAAAATTCAATCACCAGCTCATATAAAATGGTAATAAATCAAATCGCAATTTCAGTTACACATAAATAATTAATTCCGTGACTAGACTGAAATTAAGTTACCCAGATTCGATTTAAAACATCCATGGTAAAATCCTAGTATACGGTGCAGCCTTGGCGCGACTTTGAAAATTATCGCCAACACCAAAAATGATCCAAAGAACGTCTATATATATACTTATACATACAGAGTATATGTATATACACAGATAGTATATATACTATATACATGGTATATACTAAGTTTAACTACATATTTTCTTTGAATGACCCGTTAACTACTCATCGTATATGTCCCGTTTTTACTGCTCATCATAAAGTCGCCAAAAGTAGCCAAATCCAGTGTGCACCGGATACTAGGATTAAACCACATCCATATTTTCCCTAAGGATAGACCACTAATAAAATAAACATAAATAAAAATTTACAATCAAAACATATTTATTAATTATTGATTAACATAAGTAAAGATAGCTGGGATAACTAAATCCAGATCCTTGCAACATGTTCCTCTCTTTTCCTTGTTTTCTTTTTTAAAGTACTCAGAATTTAAGTACTCTCAATTTTTTTAAAGTACTCGTTCATTTTATAACAGGAAAACAGTATTAAATTACCAGTTTGGCCTGAGAGATACTTAAGATCATATATCCATTTTCTATCCCATTCGAACATTTAAGTTTCCTTTTCCGCAGAGTACATATCTTGACAGAATCCTATAACTAAACTTCGAAACCCTATATTTGGAAACTCAGTCTATTAACAAAATATTGAAATTAGCCCACTTGTTTAGAGTTCTATACTATACCACGAACGTGCCACTTCTTTCCCGCTGACATATAATACTGGATAATAACTGAATCCACACTAACACCTAGATACAAATTGTAGGAGAAACTTGTCAGGTATTTTTTCTTTCTTTCTTTAGATTCGTTGCTTTCCACTAGTCTGCGAACAGCCCTTCTGGAAGTTAGCTTCCGTAATTCCAGCGTACCCTTTCGAGCATTCAAGCATTTTTCTACAGTACCTTAGGCACGAATTAAAATACTAGAAAAGTAAAGTTTTTAGCGCGCTAGATCCGAGTTTAGAATAGAGAGCTTGATTTCGCAATGACCACGGTAGCTAAGAAAATGTTTTTGGCCGATTTTCAACATAGCAAATGCTGCCATGACCAGGATGGCTCAACAGTATCTTTCTCCGAGAAAACTGGACTCTCGACCTGTAGCTCTGGTCAGTAAGGTGAGTAAACTCGGCTACTACTTCTCGTTCAACAACTTTTAGACCCCGTCTTCTCGAAAATGAAGATCGCCTCTAAATTCACCATTGGCTCAAATAATTTATAAATTAATTTCTACCCATTCAAATCCTATCTTAAGCTCTCTAGAAGCAATGAAAAAAAATCAATAACTTACAACCATTCTTCCGAGAAATATCTAACTCTTTCAAAGATGCGTTTTCAGCTTCTTCCCACGAAAGAAATACGTGTTCAGTGCTGAAAGTTAAGGGGAAATCCATTACATTAAGGGGTTCGCACCAGTCTTTGAGCTATGAAAGAGTTGCATTAAGGAATAAGAAATCACACCCGCTTATAGATTAATTTTTTGCTAGCTTTTGAGAAATGCAATGCAATGCGTTGCTTAATAAAAATATATTAAATTCACTTAGAATTAAATTCATTATGAATTTGTACATAACAGTTCCAATATTTAATTCTTTATGCACTAAATTAGTACAAACCAGCGGTTTGTGGGATAATGTATATTTCGAGTGAAAGATGAATGCGGGGCCGGACGACTTTATATGACTAATGAGGTGTCGTCCGGTATCCGCAACTGTTCAGAGCTGCACCTTCCCGGTGCCTCTCAAGTACGGCATCGGGAGTTTATTGCAGTAAAGATTACACACGGCCGTACAAAGGCTAAGTCAAAAGACATTGCCATTACTATATACACCAAGTACATGCATAAATACAATAAGATAATTGAAAACGTCTACATATTCATACCAGCATAGTTATTGGATGCATATATACACTAATACACAACACACTTTTATATAATATATGTACGAAGCGCTATAGTAAGAGGATTAAGCATAATAATTAATAAACTGATAGGCAACATACTTATATATAATACACAGTTTACTATCGTAGGTTTGGTACACTATCTGCTATGGTGGGCTACACATATGAATAATACACCATTTACATGCGTTAATACACTATGCATGTAACTATAATAGAATATTTACGAAGGCTAATTTATACATATATATATAATACAAAAATTAAATGTATTTGGTTCATAAGCAAGTACATGTAATACACAATTAACGAAGATAAGAAATACCCCTATATACCGCAAAAATTACACCTAATTAACACACAAGTACTTACATAAGATACGTACAATATGATTGTAAAATGATACTTCTGGAATACTATGTGACAGATATGGGAAAGGGCTTAGAATATAGTTATTAACAAGCAGTAAGAAAAAAAAAAGATTCATTTTTAAGGCTAAGGCGCGATAAAAATGTTTCATTTTGAGACTATGCACATGTTTTAATTAATACACATTTTTATTAATCACCTAATTTTTTATTTGTATTTTTGTATAATTAACAACTAATTTTATAGTACGTTATTGCAATTATGAGGATTTTCGCTGTATAATATCATTTGTAATCTGTAGACGGGGGAGTTTTCCTTAGAAGGTCCTCCACGAAGGCATTCCTCACCTTACGTAGATAGCCCTCGAGGACTTTGCTGTAATCATATAAACCAAATTAAACTATATGTATTATTACTGACACTGAATTTCAGGTTTTCCTCTCAATTTAAAAGAATGCTAAAAGTTAAAAAAGGAGGTTTACTTCCAATTATCTAAGTATAATCTGTGAATTCTGGATAAGAAGTTTGCTAAACTAACGCTCCTTTTAACGAGATTAATACTATGAAACACGTTATTCAGATACCTCTACTAGGGACTGAAAAACCGCCAATGGACACTGGTTTATTCTGATACTTTAACAAAATCTTAATATTCACAAGTTAACAAAGAGAAACAAGACAGCTGTTTTACACATTTATAAAACACACGCATATTAAAAAAAAAACATTCTTACGTTCTTACCTTCAGATTTTTCCCACCATATCCTAGGTTGTGGAAAGCCGTCAGCTTGGCAATCAATAACAACATTTTGTCCGACCACGACTGATTTATCAGATGGAGGTATTTTCCACTGAGGAGGAACTAAAAGTAATATATATATATATACACACATAAGAAAGTGATTCTTATATATTCGTTAACATAATTTCCTATATTTAGTTAGAGAACTCCTTTGGTGTAATATTAAATGTCATAAGGGAATTTGGACAGATGGAATGATTGGCGAAAGTTTCAATTAATTTGTTTGTCGGGTACTTTCAGAGTTTGTCAGCTCTCTCAACCAGGTACTCTCACAATTTGTCAGGTCTCTCAACCAGGTACTCTCACAATTTGTCAGGTCTCTCAACCAGGTACTCTCACAATTTGTCAAGTCTCATAGTTTGTCAGGATCTCAGGTAATATGTATCTGTGATTGTCTAACTAAATAAAGTGACATATTTTTCTTTAAAATTCTGCTAGAACAAGTGGTGCAAGTATGGCGGGATCCTTGCTCGATCGGAGTCAACTTTCATAAACGTCGGGAAAAAATGTGAGCACTTAATATGAAACATAACCAATTTCATTAAATTTGGAGTTGTAGTTAAATTAAAAATTAATAAGCGTTTATGAATTTCCTAACTGATTAAATAATTATTTAAATTTATTAAATGTTACTTAGTTGCATTCTTTTAATTGAACAATTCTGGATCTATTTTTGCTACTGACGACAAGCTTTTGCATCCAATGAAAAATTTTTGTTGCAGCAAATGCTGTAGTACTTTATATCGCTCGTTTATGTAACGTATTCAAAAAGAACTGATATTATTTATTGTCCTCGAGCTTTTTGATTTGTAAGTCTTTCTTGTGCACAATATGAGAAAATTTTAAATGCACTCTGCATATTTGAACACAGAACAGCCACAGTACAAGTTGAAGAAACAGATCTATTCAAACAGAAACAACGTTCTAAAATATACGAAAATAATTTAGAGCAAATAATTTACAGTGTTAATTACCTTTTGCAGTAGTTTTTAGTTAATTTGGGATCTTGTACAGACATTTTTATTGCAACATTACAAGCGTAATAAATTTCATTTTCAACTACCCATAGCGGTACTTACGTATTATCCCGTCGACCGTGAAACTGTCCCCAAGGAGAGCGATTAAGCGGGCAACTATGGATAAGAGCAACGTTATAATACGCTCATTACATCTGCACTTTCATCTGATATAACGCCGATTGATTCCCGGTAAACCACGTTTTGTTTTCATGTTCAAGGTTATAAATTAACTACTATTGCAATATTTTCATTTCATTTTGAAAAAAAAATGATTGAAATTTGTAACCTACCGTTTATAGAACAGAAAGCAATGGATTATTTTCAGTTATGGGTTCTGACTATAAAAAAAGTGTATATTAATGGACACGATATGAGCAGAATATGGCTGATGAAACAGTGTTAAATACGAGCAGTTACCTGAGGGAAGATTGTATTCGTAGCGTTCTAAACAGAGCTTCCGGTAAAATCGGAAGGCCGAGCAAAATACTAGAAATCAACGAAATGCTTTTAACGAAGCGCAGAAGCAAAGTGGGGCGAGTGCTGATTATTAAATAAAGAGATGTCCAGTTCCTTCCAAATTCCGCAGGAACGACTGGTGCGAATTTGGTAGGATCTCCGCCAATTTCCGTGGTTCGACGATAGGCAATATTCATGATAGACACGGAAATACCCAAATAACTTAATGTCTTTGTGCACTTAATTTTTAGCAAATAGAGCAAGTGATAATCTAAAAATTAAGAAAAAAAATTCTCTTAACTAGTACCTAGATATTTCATTCTGGCGCACACCAGAGTGATTCTTTTAGAAACGAAATTTGGTGTATTAATGCAATAAACATCTTCATATATTTTTAACTCTCCGTGCTCCATAAAGTATACATGAGGCTTACACAAGTAAGTTACAGTACTAACACAATTTATAAACAAATGTATAGTAGCACTAAAAATTAGGGTAAAAATTATTAAAAAAATAAGTAAAATAAAAATAAGAAAATGTTCAAAACTCAATAATCTAAATTGAGAATGAAATTCCGAAAAGAAGAAGTTGTATTCTTAGTACAAATACGTCCAGAAAAAATTGATCACCAAGATACATTTAAATGCTTCAAGGCTGTCTGAAGTACCTTTCTCTGCTAGACACGATGAACATATTCAAGAAGTTTAATACCTTCATCGCCGCTGCCCCAGCTGCATAAAATCTCTTGAAGCATTCCAAATAGCTTTAAATAGCTCTTAAAATTTCTACCGTTCAGTTACATATTAAGTTATTTTAAAATATATGTTGAAAACTAATCAACTTTTGGTCCATTGTGCTTCTGGTGAGGCCAGAAAGTCTCTGTTCAAAATATATATAAGATCATTTCTATCAACACTGTGGTATTTATGGGAATGAGATGGCTGATATGCTTGCAAGAAAGGGGACTACGGTTCTCCAAAAGCCAAAAACGAGTGCAAGCCTCCATTCTATTAAGCTTAATCTATAAGCTGTAACTGGCATTAATCATTTCTATAAATAAATCATTTCTATAAATAAATCATTCCTATCAAAGCGCTTCCAGGAAGAAACAGGAATACTGAAATTTAAATCAATACGAATTTTCGTGCTAGCTTTGTTTCCTCTTACTTCCAAAATTTTCACAGTGTTCACGAACGTAAGCAAAATGAATGTCAATATCAAGGTCTTATTAATAACCTGAATTTCATCATCAATTTCCAATGAAACGTTAATTGTCTGTAATAGCTGTAGCGAAGAAAGAGAATTACTATATATTAAAGCGCAAATCGCTGGAAGAAGTCCTCTTATTACACCAATTAATAAAGCCTTCACTAAGTAGGAATTTGATAGGTGCTCAGATCTTTCTAATTTGTGAACAAAAACAATATTTATTTAAATATATAGATAATTATGTTCTTGCATTCTAAATTGGTTAAACACATTGTGTTTTTTTAAATATCTTTGATTAGTTGAAAAACCAATAAATATAAAATATCGAGAATATGGAATTTGTTAAAAAGAAAAGGATAATGTAGCAAGTGCGTAAATATATGACAATACAACTATTTGCTACTGATTTCATTGACAATTTGACTATTTGTTATTGTTCAATAATGCTGAAAATGTTCATAAAATTATTAGTTAGACAAATTAAAATTTAAACACATCTTATATTATATCAGTTAAATGCATCTGTCATTAATAGTTTTAAAAGGTAAATTAAAGATCTGATGACGTGTCGAATGATAGCATCCGGACACTGGCTATTAACCATATCGCCGGAAGCATAAATTGAAGTTGCCTTTAAGCATTGGCAACATTTGCCAGATTACGCAGGGCCAAACTTAATGTAATGGATTCGTAACAAAACGTAATGTAACAAAATGTGGTACAGCAGCCCTAAAAGACTTCTAAAGATAAAGTCTTTTATATATATATATATATATAATATATATATATATAAAAGACTTCTAAAGTTAATACAACACTAAAAGTATACGGTACTTACACATTAACGTAACGAATTTAGCATAAGTGGCAAAATTTCAAATTGCGCTGTACTTCAGGACTCATGCGCTATAAAAGTCTTCCATTTTAAAGCGCAGTGTCGCCATTTTTCATGTGCCGTTCGTTTTGTTGTATTTCAGATAACAACTGTTTTTAGAAACAAATCGTATTTCCTTTTTTAAATTCCTACTATTAGCTCACATTCTCCCTATATCTTGTTAAAATTTTCAATAGTGAATAACACATTTTTATTCATCCACTCATGTTCAAATACATTTTTTTAAACTTGTAGTGGATGACATTTGATGTTAATTCAGTATTTTCACATATTAAAAATTGTTATAATTTTTAATTAAAAATTTTTTTTTTGTACTTTAAAGTTCTTTTTGTATTTTTAAAATTTTTCTTTGTTGACGTAAGTAGGAATTGATTTTAATTTTTTTTATATTACTTGTTTTCTTTTTTCTTTGTTTTTTTTTTTTTTTTTTTTTTTACTTAGTCTTAAAATTTGCGTTTGTGGAATTTGTAATTTGGCAGCGAAATTGCAGGATACAGTATTTTCCTGCAAAATCATTACAGGAAAAATTGCTTTTAAATTATTCTTAAAGTATCTGCCATGAAATTTGAACAGAAAAAAATTCACTAGTAGTGGGTTTATTGATGGATTGTTCGGATAAATGCTTGATCGAAATGTTAGGATAAATGCCTAACAGATAAACAGATAGATAAAAAAATCTATTTCTATATATATTGTACGGTGAAACAACGAAATCTGGAGAATGTCGACTTTCACCGGTGAATGTCAACATTCCCATAGTCTCTTGGTGTATGTCCGAAATATTTTCCAAATACTCTTATTTCTGACTTACACCGGTCAATGTCGACATTCACCATGTACTAATGGTGAATGTTAAACATACAACAATATTATATTTTCTTCTCCGTAATTCAGTCGCAAATAAACGCACTTGAAACTTGAAATAAGAACTTAAGAACATGAGAACCTAAAACACACAATACATTCAAAATGAGAAAGGAAAATAATAGAAGTTAAAAACTTACTTAATTATACAGTACGTTCTAAATGAGAAAATAAAATAACAGTAATAAAAAACTTACTAAATTATGTGATTCAAATCTTATTTATTGCAACAACTTAAACTATTACGACACTTTATGACCTCTCTTTTCGACTTTACACCAGAGCATACCTGTGATTGTCGACATACACCGCTGAGGGTCCGAATATACAAGAATGTAGTGCAATATTCGATCTTTCACCAACTTATTTGGTGAGTGTTAACATTCTTCGGTGAAAGTCGACATTCTCCAATTTCGGTCTTTCACGGTAACATATGTATTTGAAGTTATATACGTAAGAAATAATTTTTCTCTTTTATACATGATCATTTATTTTTGTATAAAAAATTGCCGAACTAAGTTGAGGTGGTTGAGTTAATACGTAAGTACCAAGTATACTTAAATTCAAAATTACATATTTTAATAACTATTCTTATAAAAATGAAAATAAAGATACTTTACCATTAACAATCATAGATGCAGTGTAATTAACCTTGTCGGCTTTGTTTGATGCAACGCAAGTATAGTTTCCATTATTTTCGTAAGTTACTCTTTTCAAGAAAAGAGTGGACATGAATTCATTTGAGTTGTCGATAAGTGTGTTGATGTTGTCCCTGAGAAGTTGATTATCTTTGAACCACAACAACGTAATGGGTGGATCTCCATCCATGACTGAACACGTGATAATCACCCGGTTTCCTTCTTTCAAATTTGGAGGGAAGTGGAATGGATTGATCACTGGAGCAACTGAAACAGAAAATTTCTTGCATTCACATTTGATTATGAATCTGGATTTATATAACTGATTTTCATTATTATACTTTATAGCATGTCAATATGCAGAATGAACTTGACAACATATTTTTAATATTTTGTGATACTGAAGGAGTAAAGATTAAACTAATGAAGATCCTTGTACTGTGCGTTTTAAATGATAATACTGAATAACTTAAAACCTGTTGATAAATTATAACACTCAGTGTACAACTGGCTTAAATTCAAATATAAAATTGAAACCTTAAAAATATAATAAGCTAACTTAATAACGAATTATACAATAAAACATTTAGTTTAAAATTGTGTGTCCTTTTTATCAATTAAATTTCACTTTCCCCCACCAGTGGCAGGCACTAGCCATTATATACATTGGTCACTATTGAGGCTGGAAACGATGGTCACTTTATTACGTTTCAATTGAAGAAAATCATAATAAAGCATCGTTTGTAATGCTTTTGGCTATTGGGTTACTCAATTTAAACTTTAACCTACAAGCGACCGAGCGGTAATGTCGGTGAACACTGGTAGTTCGGTCCGAGGTTCGAATCTCGCGCTGCATGCGCGTTTTCGTGGTTTTCCCCATATGCAAAGTGTGTACGAGCTAGTCTACCATAGAAAGTCTTCAAAGAAAGGCATTCCTCCCTTTAGGCAGATAGACCTCGTGTGCTTTGCAGCAATCAAATAAACCAAACCATCATTTTAAATTATACTCTTCCCATAAACTAATATCAGAATTAGGCAAAGCACTCAAGGGCTATCTGCCTAAAAGTAGGGATGCCTTCGTGAAGGACATTTTAAGGGAAACTAGCTGATATACAGGTTACACATGAGGCAAACCACGAAAACAGGTGTGCAACCAACCGAGCTACCAGTGTTCAGCGGCTTTATCGCTCGTCCGCTGGTGGGTCAATGATATCAACAAATAATTAACTGAAAGAAAATTTGTATAAAATTTAATTATATTGTTAAATTCGCATTACATTTTAATAATTTTTTGGTTATCGGGATCTGTTATCGGGACTGGGTTGAGATATGTGTGAACGTGTATTTGTACATATGTGCATATGTATAAACACATACATGCATACATAAGTACATTTCTAAACCCGGTCCTGTTAACAGAACAGTATCAATTTTTTTGCAAAGATTATTATTTTACTCGAATTTCTTCATCAGGAAGATGTTCAAAATTTAGATTTTCCGTTGATGAATAATTTACCATTCAGTGGCATATTTCACTTCATTTAGTACCGCGTGCATATCCTTTTATGTAACATAACCTTAGATATTTCATTTAGCACTGATAAAATAATACACTACTAAATATAATATTATGTGGTGATGTATGCATGTCATTAACTGCTTGAAGATAAGAGTTAAAGAAAAACAACTGCGGTAAATCAAGCGTAAATCATTTAAGCAAATGGAGATTTAGCTCACAGACTCTGACGTGATGTTCTAACATGGTAACGACATTTCAAGACCTCGTGAACCCTCACTTATCCTCAAGAAAGTGAATCGATGACGGAGAAAGGACAAAACATAAGAGCAAACACACACGCAATAAGCTAATTAGTCAACGACTTGAGTACTTTGCTGCTTCTCATCCCACCAAACTCGGCAAACCTTGAGCAAACTACGAGAACATCAACAAACTCTCGTGTGCCTGGAGGGAAACTTCTAGAATTTATTTCTTCATTGTTTCTAATAGGAAATACTGCCAAAAATGTTTCCTTCTTCGTGAAACTGATTTCTGAAGCAGATTAATTCATGCTTTAACGAAAATGAGAGCGTTTAGGGTAGGGAAAGGTTTCACACTCATTTTCCCTAACATAAAGTCAATACCAGAATTGAATACGGTTTTCATTTATTTCGATAAATTCTGCCAGGTGTAAATTAAAATTACATATAGTTAATCAGTTAGCAGCAGGTTATATGTTTATCTTTGAAGTAGAGGATCCTTTGCTTGATCTTTCAAACACAGTTTTCTAATGAAACCAATGGCAAAAAATCTGCTGCGTACACCACATGACTTCCTTGTACGAAATAATAAATTATATGCATTTTTTGCTGCATTTTATTTAAACGCATTTCCTCGAATTTCATTACAGATATATTTATCATTCATTCAATTCAGTTCTCACTTCTCGGCAAGGCAACAATACATATAACCTCAAAATATCTCCATTAAAAATTGAAAAATATAGAAGAACATAAAACTCCAAATAGAATTAAAACTATTAAAAAACATTTTTTTCAATTAAAATTACACTTACTACGCAAAAACAATTCGATCAGCAGTAAGAAGGCAGTTTTTCCGAAGCACAAAACTAAATGTTTCGTCTTGAACCCACTCGGCAAAAAGATACTTAAGGCGCAGAAAAAATTAATTCACTATTCTGCTAAGTTTCAAACGTAAACAAATATGGATGCTATGGTAAAAAATTAGGCCTAGCCGCTCCTAAACAATTTTAAATTTTTGATAAATCTACAACTATTGCATGCAGATTAACTAAAGGCGTAAAAACCTTAACCGGAAGATAACAAGAACATAATTCAATCATTTTTAAAGCAAAAAATGCACAATTTACCAACACATAAGAAAAAAAAAAAAACTCAGCTCACTGAGCCGAGTAACAGAGTGGATATATATACATTTCGTGCGAACGATTGCAACCAAAAAGGGAGGTCCCCAACTTTAAGTTATAGCTGTCTTATATACAAAATTTCAACATTCTGAGGATACTCGTTTTGAGTTATGCAAAATAAATGCACACATACATACGTACAGACGCCACGAAAAAAGGTCTCTTGTGAATTCATTTTAAATCAGTTTTAGTATTCGTTTGGGGAAAAGATGACCTTTATTCTGTTCTTACGTACAGATGACACGCAAAAACATCATTAAATTGCAGGCATAGCAGTCAATATGGATTTTTTTTTGTCGATATATGGTACCCGGAATTTTTCGTGATTACAATACTTCCTTTCTTTTCCTTTACTTCGTACAAGGATGTAAAAAAGATTAAATCTGAATAATATGTAATTATTTATCAAAAGCTGTAATTATTTATCAAAAATCCGTATTAAATTAGCTGCCTTTATCAAAATGCTTATTCCAATTCAAGCGTAAAAATTGCTCGTAAACACAGCAATGTCCAAATGTGGCGTAAAGAAATTGATAGATTAAAAGTACAGAGGCTTTTCGCATATTTTGCAGAAGAATTTGTTTTGCTATTAAACAAATCGCCTGCTTGAAAAGAATTATTTTAACTGCAACTGTAATTCTAAAAATGTAAGTTATCTTTTGCTATATGACAATTTTGTTTTCATGCAAAATGACTCTTTTAATGAAGCAATAAACAGGCGATTTGTTTTATAACAAAACAAATTCTTTTACAAAATATGCGAAAAGCCTCTGTACTTTTAATCTATCAATTTCTTTACGCCACATTTCTACATTACTATGTTTATGATCCTTTCCGAAGAAAATTATTCATATTTATTCGTTTATTAAAAAATGCTATGAAAGACATGAAGACTTTTTGGTATCTAAAGTAATATTGTGGCTAATCTTTGGAATATGGTAACAGGTAGTTTGGCGACATTTTGGTAAGGCGATAAAGGTTACTAGGTCAGACTTTAGCAATAATCTGAGAAGTGCACAGTTTGAATCACATATTATTTTGTCTCAGAGAAATGAGAGATCATGAGACATGTGATGTGACATTTTCCGGAAAATTCAAATCGGGATTTTAGCTAATAAGCACTTAAACAATTTCGCTGCTAAAGTGCAGAATCGCCTACTTATTTGTTTGGCGCTTTTTACAAGAGTAAGAAGAATTGGATTTTTGTCAATTTTCTTTGACTTTTTAAGTGAAAATAGGTCGATGTGTACATGGATAAAGTGAAGAGTGTGCGCAATGCCATTTTTGTGCAATTCTGGGATTTTTTTTTAAGTGAAAATAGGTCGACGTATACATGTATACCGTGTATATGCAATTCTTAAAATCGCGGCAAGCAGTGCGCGATTCTACATTTTCTCCCACTTTCGCACCTAATCTTCGTCGTGATTAAGCACTTTTGTTCCATAAAAGTTCTAGCATAAGCGTAATTCGGTTAGCAGATTGTTGGAAAAAATTTTGAGTAAAAAAAAAAAAAGGCCTTTACTTCGTGAAAACCAAATGGCGTCCCCCCCGGGAAAAAAAAAAAAAAAAAAAAAACTAGCAGTTTGTTGTAGCAGGGTTGGTCGCCAAAGTTTCGCCGAAAAATCGCCAAGTTACCATAATCCAAAGATTCATTCACCAATATTGTCAATAAGAAAGGGGGAAAAAAGATGTCAAAGTTTGGCCTCCAAGGCAAGAAAACGTGATGTACACCGTGTCTTTCTTTCTCCACGACATATCAGCGAAAGCAGAACGTGCTGCAGTACAGTTATTTGGACAAAAATGGAAAAATGTTGTCACAATCGATGAATCTTGGCCACATTTAAATGAACGAAATAAAAAAAAAAGATCCATTTATTGTCATCAAAGATAGAAAAAATCTTAGAACCTGGCTCAAAAGAGATTCTAAAGAGAATTTTTCAAAGGGATTTATGATTGTTGTTGGTTTTTGATATAACGACAAATATAAACGAAAGAGAATGCAGAAAACTGTTAAGGTCAACCCCACTTATCAGAAACATATTTTATATCCAGTTCTCAAATACGAAATACCTTCTCTTTACCCATAAGGACATCAACCAGTAGAACTGCATCAAGACAAAGCAAGCAGTCGCATGTCAAAATACATTCTTAATTTCGTGGAAAAAGTGGTGTGGTGTATTTAATTATGGCAAAGCACACTAGGGCTATCTGCCTAAGGGGAGGGATGCCTTCGTGGAGGACTTTCTACTGAAGGGAAACTGGCTCGTATAGACGTTACACATAGGAAAAACCACGAAAACACCCATGCAGCCAGCCCGTTCGCGGGATTCGAACCTCAGACCGAACTCCAGTGTTCAGCGACTTAACCGCTCGGCCGCTGGTGGGCCCTGGAAAAAAGTGGAACAACCAACTTGTAACCCTTCACTCATATCCCTACTAAAGCTCCTGATGTATCATCCACGGATTTTTGCGCCTCTAGACATTTAAAAATCGGACTATTCAAATGTCGACATACAACCCCTCTTGGACTTTGGAAAGAGGTTCAAGAGGAAGGGGATAAAATACCTCTTTCGGCTGCTAAAAAAAGTTTTATTGTCTTAGAAATTATGGTGTAGAAAAATAATCAAGAATAAGGGTTCATTCAGAAATATTTATAACCAAAAATGAATGGATATGCAATGAAAATATAAAATTAGAATATAATCAATAAAAAATTATGGCGAAATCAAATGAGATAAATGATAATTGATAATTACGTTTCAAAAGCTGATTTCATCATCACATGAAAATTGGCATTTTCCATTGTGTACCTGCCATGCATTTTGGAAGGTTTGATTTACTCGTAATTATAAACAAATTTTAATTATAAGGCAGTTTATAGATGCATAAACACGCATAGAACGATAGCCTAGATCGCATTATTTTCCTTATCAAAAATAATTTTATTTTCCTTATCAGAAATAGTTTTTAAAAGTTACAAAACTTATACCTACTTTCTATGATAGCACGAAACTTCAGACACCATTTGAACTTACCTTTATCTTTCTCGTACTATTGTGAATAATTATTAGCATTTTATAAAGATAATTAGAGGAAAATGCCATTCAAATCAATATCCCGATGATTAAATCAATAGTTAAGCTTTTCAATGGAAAAAAAAGTATGTGATAGAATGTAAAGAAAAAAAAATCAGAGACTTTTTATTTAAAATGTGTTACAATTTTATCTCTTTTCTCATATTCTTACGTCATGTTCCAGATTGAAAAATCGACTTACCTAGGACTTTGACTCCAACGTCCCTAAAGGCACTCTCCCCTTCTCTGTTCTCCGCTATGCATCTATAGGTGCCTTCATCACTGTTCCTATCTACGTTATTGATGATCAATGTTCCATTAGTGAAAACCTGCTGCCTTCGATTCTGGGGAAGTTTGCTCTCGCCTAACGAACAAAGAAATTTGCATCAAAAGCTTTTCACATTCCATCACCTTTAACCGTGACAGCTTTTATGTGCTGTAACAATAGAATACTCATTTATTACTCGTGGCGATTTTGAAAATTCTGCTTTTATTGCATTCTTTATTTTGATTTGTCTTTTGAAAAATTCCGCCAGAAGCGATTTAGATTGTATGAATCAGCACGCAGATTCTAATAAAGTTATTCGTTTGTTGAAGGAGTAATGAGTTTCTGAGTTACGAACTGTTTGAGCTAAGTAGCGACTCATCTCGAAATTTGAATTCCCTGAAGCAAATAGAAACTTAGCTGAATTTGTGTATGACTATGTTTGCGTTTCCAGTTTCATTGTCTTTTGCTTTTAACAATAAAAATGTTTCTCAAGCAAATTCTCTCGGGCAATACTTTTATGAGGCCGATGAATTTAACTCAAAGTACCATGTATTTGTTTTGGAAAAATTAACGATGCATTGACTGGGTTAAATCAAAATTGAAATCTAAATTTCTAAAAATCTCCAATCTCAAAAGCATAATACATAGAAAATGGATAATTGCATTATAATTAGCATTGTGTAAGATTTTTAGATTTACTTTTTATTACTTACAGGAAGTTATATAGTTATTATAAAGGGATGTTTACATAAAGGAGAAACTCTACCGCTCTTAGGAATTTTAATACTTATATTGAATGCATGTGTATTACGGCGTTGAATTAAATATATATATATATTTTTTATTTCTAGATACTACTCTGTTATCAGGGCCGAGTCCAGAGATAAGTATGTTTGCAGGTTGGGATGTATTTATTCATGTATGCATGTATGTATATACATAGATATGTAACTGTGTGTGTACATACATATATACGCACATAAATGCATACATACATACATTAAACTTCTGAATCGGGCCTTGATAATAGAATAGTACCGATTTGAAATAGAGGATTATTTTCAAATAAAGGATTTGTTTTGCATTTTTTTTATGGTTTCGAATTAGGCATACTAAAAATTCAGAGAATAATAGTTAATTATTTTGGTACTACTCCATTTTGAGCACCGTAAAAAATTGCAGCGAAAATGTATGCGCAAAAGCGTCAAATCTAGCAAACGCGCCCATTTAACAGCGCGCCAAATCTAGCGTACGCGCTGGATTCAGATTGCGTTAAGTTTATATAGTTCTATATTTCTTAAGACGCCATTGAAATACTAGTTTGATTTTTAAATCCTTTTTTGATATCTTATGGATCTGACAATTTGGGAATTGCCTATGAAGAAAAGTCTGCAAAAGAATTTTGGGTAAAGTGCAGAATCACCCACTGCTTGACGCGTTTTTAAGAATTGCACATACTCGGTATCCATGTACACATCCACCTATTTTCACTTAAAAATAAAAAAAAAAAATCCCAGAATTGCACAAAAATGGCACTGTGCACACCCCTGACTTTATCTATGTACACATTGACCTATTTTCACTTAAAAGTAAAAGAAAATTGACAAAAATCCAATTGTTTTACCCTTGTAAAAAGCCGCAAACAATTAAGTGGACGATTCTGCACTTTACGGAGAATTTTTTCATAGAAAAGGCATCATTCATTATAATTATGATAATAAAAAAGTATTATATGAAATTAAATTTTCCTCTAAATTAAAACAACAATCTTAGTTATTTACTATTATACTTCCTTTCTTGCGTTAGGGTTGCCGCAATTATTTTTGGCGGCGCTGGCATCAACAATAGTTTGGCGATTTTTTACGGCCCTCAAAACCGAATCGTACCATTATTTTTATCGGTTACCATAAATGTTTAAAACGGTTTTATAAAACAGACCAAAAAATAATTTTAAAGTACTTAAGCTAATACTCATCTTACGTACGTGAATGGGAGAAAACACTTGAAACTACATTCCATGCTACAAAAACATAAGGACAGAAACTATAAATAATTTACCCATTTTCAAACACTGTGTGTTAATGCACATACAATAATTGGTACACTTTGCACAAAGCAAAACAAACAACAACAACAAAAAACAAAAAAACGACAATTCTATATTTTTTGTTTTACTCGACTGATTGACGTTCTGTTTCACACATCTCGAAAGTGCGATTTAGGATATGTATTAGATTAAAACATAGTAGGTTCTAAACATTTTCATACAAATCCGGGCCTTTCTGAAAGGACATACCGTATTTTTGTTTCCACATTTCAATTCTATGACTCAAATTGCGCCTAAATATTACATTTTGTAAAATTTGGTGAGAAAAAAAAATCTTGGCGCAGTTTTATGAGTACTTCAGAATAACTTACTTAGCAAAATTCTTAATTTATACTACTTATTTTTCTTTCCACTGGCACTGTGGGGCTCACCGGCGGCCGAATGGTAAAGTCGCTGAACACTGATATTTCGATCCGATCTCCTCTTGAAAGGGCTTATTGCATGGGCGTTTTCCCCAAGTATAAAGCGTATACGAGTCAGTTTCTCTTAGAAAGTCCTCCACGAAAGCATCCCTCAACCTTAGGTAATAGCCCTAGAGACTTTGCCGTAATTAAATAAACCAAACCAAACCAAACCTTTCACTGTGCACGAGCGGGAAAAAAGTGCATCGTTCATTCTTTGAAATAATTTTAATAAAGTACATAAACCAGCATTTGGCGTTGTTATCTTCTATAACAAATATGCCAAAGCTCAAAATGCGCCAACAGATAAATTCACGTACGTATATCTTGGGAAATTTTTAATAAAGAACTAAATTTTTGCGAGTTTGCCCAGAAATGCGTCTACTTGAAAGTGATTGTAAAAATTTTATAGGCTGTAATTCAAATCTTTTTTTGCCAAAAATTTATAAAAATTCAAAATTAGAACATAAAATTAGAAAATAGCTCCGGATTTTATTTGGATGAAACCTCAATCATCTGTGAAAGAAAGAATCAAGTAAGTTTAATAAAAAAGAGATATTAATGAATATATAGCAAACAATTAACATAGAGGAGCTAAAAGTTTGACACCTAATTTTTTAAAATCTACTAGTATGAGTTACACAAAACTTGGCAGTTTGGCATAAGTTGAGTCTTAAAATCAAAATATGGAAACAAATAGACATGTCATTTCAGAAAAAGTCCGATTTTGTGTCAGAATACCTATGTTAGAACAATGCTGCATATAAATCTAATATATTGGGTCATATAGAAAGTCTCCGCGCTTTTTTTGCCACTAGATGGTATTTGATGCCTATATATCCGACAGCACTCACCCGATTGTCTCAACCGAACATGTGCTTAAAAGGTGACATTCAGCTTCCATTATTTGTGAAGATAGTTTTCTAATTTGTTGCTCGTGTCGAAAGTTATATTGATTTGAAAATGAGTGAAATAGCTGAAGAAATACAGTATGTGATGCTTTTTTAGTATAAAAAAATAAAAACGCTTCAAAAAAATGGCGAAAAATTTGTGAAGTATATGGTGAGAGTACTCTGAGTGAACGAAGGACCCAGCAGTGGATTGCTTGATTCTATTCCTGGAGATTGGAAGGGAATTGTTCATTATGAGCTGCGGCAACCTGGCGAAACCATCAATTCAGCCTTGTACTGTACACAAGTCGACCGTTTGAACGAAGCAGTCCAGAAAAGGCGACCAAATGTGGCCTACAGAATGGGAGTTGTGTTTCATCATGACAATGCGCAGCTACACACATGTTTGATGACTCGGAACAAATTGACGGAACTTGGTTGGGAAGGTTTGATGCACCTGGACATTGCACTGGTGAATGCAGGGCCCGGACACCCGGACGGCTTAATATGACAAATCGGATGTCGTCCGGTACCCGCACCTATTTAGAACAACACAACTCTGGCGATTTCCTGAGAGGGCTGCATCCGAAATATATTAATGGAGAATATGAGGTATTGACGTTGCCAAACAAGGGCGTGTGCATATATATGCTTCAATATACAATTAATAAAAAGTTTAATACACAGGTACATTGGATATATATGTATATTGGTGTAAGTGGTTAATGAGATAGGCAAACAATAAACACTTATACATTAAAAGAAATGAAACACTAATAATGCAACTGGCGCATTAATGCAGAAGATGACAATTAGTGAATACACGTAATCGTGTGTCATCCTGTATGACTATACATAAACTACTAGAAATTATATGCATAAACACATACGAATGATTGCGATAAATGAAAACACATAATCATGCATTATTCTACTGGGCTATGCACACATCAATAAAAATGCACAATCTGACTGCCATTTGTTTTGGTCTCTGCAAACCTCTCTTGATGGTAAAAAACTGGCCGACCGAAGTGCCACTGAAAACCGCTTGGCCAAGTTTTTCGACGATAAACCACAGAAGTTTTACACCGATGGAATTATGAAGCTACCCCAAAAATGGCCATAGGTCATAGATAATAATGGTCAATATACAGTTGATTAAAATTGATGGTACTTACATATCATCGCAACCAGGTTGGGGCGATTTGTAAGTTTGAGTAAAAAGTATGAATAGAAAGAAAATGTACATTTATTAATTACAGATAATTTTTAATACAGTTTTTATATTATTTTGTTTACCCTACTTACGGCAACCTTATGTTAATTTATTAAAGCGAGGTGTGCGTAGTTCGTAGATTCGTTCGTTGCCTACATTGTGCCATTCGTAGATGTTTTTTTAAAGTTAAAACATGTCGCTGTGTACATGGATTCTTGTGAAATATTTTTGGTTAGAAACTTTACGTTTTTGCTATCTAAATTTTTTGTTTTTGTTTCGGATTTTTAGCTTAAATCGTGTGTTCAAAACGTAGTTTTTGCATGTGCGAAACCGCGTTTTGGAGACATTTTAGCTTAAGTTCGAAATATAGACAAGAATCCATGTACACAGCGAGTTTTAACTTAACATCTACGAATGGCACAATGTAGGCAACGAACGAATCTACGAACTACGCACACCTCGCTTTAATAAATTAACATAAGGTTGCCGTAAGTAGGGTCGCCAAATTTGGCGATTTATGCGAATTTTGGCCTGGTTGCGTTAATACGTTAAGTACCAAATTGATTTTCAATAAAAAAAGATTTTGTTCAAAAATGTACCAAAAATAGCGCGGAGACATTTTATATGACCCAATATATTCCAGTCGCGCTTTCGATCCATGAAAAACGCAATTTAAATTTCTTTAATGGGTCCAGTAGAACGGGAGATATAGAACTGCCCTGAATGCAAAGTTTCTTTCTTTTCAAGGAATGCATTTGTGCGACTCAAGGAAACGAGTTTCAGATTAAACTAACTATTCATGCAATACTTGATTCAAAATATGATTGATTTTAATTTATACCTTTTTCCCAGATTATTTTTTCCACTGGATAACCAGATACTGGGCATCGAATGACTAATGTATTTCCAGCAAGAACCGATATATTTCTCATTGGCTTGACAAAAGGTGGACCATATACATTAAGCTTTCCTGAGTGACCAACTGAAGCAATGTCGTTAGAGGCAAGACATTCGTAAGTTCCTCCGTCTTCAGGCTGCAACCTTGTGATATTCACAAAGCTATTGACAAAGCCGTCACTTGTTACGAAGTCACCCACTCTCGTCCTCAAACCTTCTGTAACAGGGAATCCATCTAATGTCCACGTTATTTGCGGCAAAGGTGTTCCAGTGGCAGTGCATTTTAAAGACAAGAAGGAGCCTGGTTCTAATGTTTGTTCGGAGAATGTATAAGCAAGAACTGGTGGATCATCTGAAACACAAGATAATAAATAAGTTATACATTTTAAATACATCTACATTAAATCAGTTACCAAGAATGAAAGAATTTTATTTTATTGTAAGGATTCCATTATTTTTTATTAACTAGTTATTTTATGTTTTGGATCTTTACTGCCACTTCTCCCTTCCACTTCCTCAACAGAATGCAAATTAGACTCAGTATTTAAGCTGAGGTTGTTAGATTCTAAAACAAAGCCCATTTCTGCTTGCGTAGGCTCACGTTAAATTTCTCCCAGTTCTGACTACCTGAATTTCTCAGCTTTGCATTATTTGCTTCCAATATTTGAATACTTACCCCGTTTGGGTTTGTGAGCCAACTTAACGTTAAGCTGAATTGTGTAGACAATGAAAACTAGCTTATTTAATTTTAATTATATTAATTAGACTGTTATTTTAAGCTATTTTGCCTAAGTTATAATAAAGGTCTCTTCATATAATTACATATATCTTAGTTATGATGTGTCTTAGTTCATTGTATATCTTAACTATAATAAAGGACTTAGCGATAAGTTGCTATCAGTCTATCTAGAGTATGGATCTGCCGCCCAGACAGTACAGTGATTATATTAGCCTACTGCAGTACCCGATGGTCCGGGTTCAGTACCGGAGAAGGCATACAATTGTATTTCCCTTTCTAGGAGGCCCTAACAGGCCGTCTATTAGGTGCCTCCACCATAAAATGACCACTACTTCTGAGCTTAGGAGTGGCCAGTGCTGAATAAGCAAGTACCCGCCATTGGATTAAAAAAATAAGAGTTTGGATCCAGTTTAGGATAGCTAAAAGCATCAAACTTTACATATTGAACTCACAATTTCTCTAAGAGGAGTTAAATGGAGCATGATTTTGAAGTTCAGCAATGATACATTTTTCTGTTTATTGCTGAAATTATTTATATATTTTAGAAATATAGATTTATCAGCTACAGAGCGAAGTACAACCTTATAACTTTTGCAAGACAATTTTAAAATGCGTGGAGGATTGATTTAAACTTTTGCTCATGTGCAGGAGAGTTTAGAAGTTTCATCGGTACTGCTTGATTTTCACAGTCTCCGCGATAAACGACCAAACCGAAGGAAACCATAAGAGTTTTTCTCAGTTTAAATATATCGCAGTTGTCTCCTTTAAATGTAACCCTTGTAAAAAACAATTCACGATTTTTGATTTACTGAAGAGGAGTGAGGAAGATACAGCATCGTTTTTACAGGATAAAGATGGATTACCTGGCAATAGAATACGAAATATGGCCACGAAATGAATTATATGTTAACGAACGCATATGGAGGTACAACGAAGAAACGTTGCAAACAAACAAAAACAAAACAAACAAAGAAACAAACAAAAACAACGAACGTTCGATCCAGCAGCTCGTTTAGTGGTTCCAGGATACCATTCATATCAGTGCTGCGTTTCATAAACTGTTGGGCAGAGGAACTAACGTCGCTTAAGTGGGGCAATACAGAACTCAGCATGTGTCAAAATATCACGGTTGACTGGAACAGTTTTATGACAGAATGTTTGTTCCCTAGATTTACTTGGAAAATGTAAATGACAAATAGTTAGAATAACCTGAAAAAATAGTAAGAATTGATGAGAGTTTATTCCTGTAGCGAAAAAACAACCCTGACAGGGTACTTTCACAAGAGTGGATTTTTGGCGAGTTATGCCTTGAAAATGGCAAGCGTTTACTTGTTCAGATTCCAAATCGGGAAGGAAGCAAACTAATAGCAACGCTTGTAGACCAAATAGTAGAAAGATCGACAGTATAATTCAGAGTGCTGACGAGCCTGTACAAAAGACGAGCTTGAAAATTTAGCTACAGCCATTTAACTGTCCAAATTTCATTTTGTTGATTCAACAACCCGTGTTCACATCGGAAATGTGGAAATATTGTAGGACTTTGTTAAGTAGCGAAACAAAAAGCAAAGGAGCATGGCTCAATATCATCTAGAGTCGTATCTTTTGGAACTCATGTGCGAAAATCCTCTGGAAAAGTATAAACCTTTTGATGCCCCATTAAACGCAACTGCGGAGATACGGCAGCTACAAACTATAAGCGAGTAGTTAAAACTTGGCTATAATCTTGGCGCCATTTTGATAACAGGGGTCCTGAAAATCAAGTAGTGTACCGTTTTGTCTACTTCTACTACATAGGGGCATATTAATGAAGTGGGGGGAACCTCACCTCAGAGGGCTTCATCTTAAGATACAGGTTATGTTAGTTATTCTTAAAATTAATTTGTTAAAATACGGAGTCCTTGGAAAACGGAATCCCTCAGTGCTGCGATCACGACTGTGATGGTACAAATCTTCCTCTGCTGTTATTGATTTAATTTTCATCGTAATTTAGGTTTTTTTCAACAAGGCTTTCAATTAATTTATTTCACATTTATGATCTTCTTCAGTTTTTAGGGAAATATGTATTCTGGAGCTTGTTCATTGTAAACAGCCCATTAGCGGCGAAGCGATAAAGTCGCTGAACGTTAGTCGTTTCGACCTGGTTTCGATTCCAGCGAAACAGGCTCGCTGCATGGGAGTTTTAGTTTTTCCCATGTGTAACATGTACATGAGCCAGTTTCGGTATGAAAGTCTTCCAAAGACATCCCTTCTTTAGGTAGATAGTCTTTGTGTGCTTTGTCGAATTTAAATAAACCAAAACATCACTGTAAATATTTTCCTTACATTCTAAGGAATCTGGTTCTATCATGAAACAGTCTTTTAAATAAACCTTAGATTAGATTCTCATTTTGATTAAAATGTTTCAAGTATTTGCAGTAAATTAAGTCGCTTTTCGAAACTGATTTATGCTTTGACCTTGAAAGTAAATTCGTCAGATTATTACAGTTTGGATTAAGGCCTTTAAACTGCTAATAGGCCTTCGAACTTGCTTCTGCATCAGTATAAAAATTTCCGATATTATTAGGTATGCAATTTGTGAATATTATGGAAGGTAATCAGCAGAAGGTCGTGGTACAAAACATCGTGGGAGAAAATAAAGCAAAGAGAAAACGTCGCAGTTCTAAAACATCGTGGCACAAAACATCGTCGCTGAAAATAAAGTGGTTCAAAACTTCGCAATTTAAAAACATCGTCGACGAAAATATCGTAGTTAAAAATAACCTACAAATCATTGCATGACAATAAGATCGCAGGCATAACTTTTTCAGGCTTTAATAACTGTAAAATTTAATAATTGTTTAATAATTGTAAAAACTCGCATTGTTTGTGATCGCAAGATGTAAAGAATGGATAATTTTTACTTTCATATTTTTTATTAACTAATACATATTTGCTGAAAATTTAAAATGGGAAACTTAAGTATAGAAAATTTAATGCAATTTATAGCACTTAATAGAATTTCAAACTGACATAGTTAACTAACAAAGGTTATTAATAAAATAATTTTTATAAGTTTTACTGGTAATTTTTCATGAAATGTATTATCCTAAAAAAGAATAGAAAAAGAAAGATAAGTAAAAAATTGCTAAGTTAATTATGAGATAATTTTCTTCACTTTTGTTAATCTGATACTCTTATAATGAAAATTACTTCTTGTTTTATTTAAATTTCTTGTTTTGCTTTTTTAAAAATGTATTAATTAATAAAAAATATGAATGTGAAAATTATCCTTCTTTCTATCTTGCGCAAACAAATTATTATGCAAATACCCATTTGAAATTATTAAAGCCTTAAAAAAATCATATCTGCGATGTTATCGTCATGGGATAATTTGTAGGTACTTTATTTTTAACCAAGATATTTTCGACGACGATGTTTTCAAACTGCGAAGTTTTTGAACCGCTTTATTTTCGACGACGATATTTTGTACCACGATATTTAAAACTGCGATGTTTTCTTTTTGTTCTATTTTCTCCCACGATATTTTGTATCACGACGTTTTCGCCTTCCGTTGTTTTCTCCGCGACGTTTTCGTCCGCGATGTTTTTGCTGCGACGTTTTCGCCTGTAACCGTTTTATACCTGTGTCAGAAATACTTATCATGTGTTTATTTATTTCAGAAATAACAAATGTAAACAACTAATTATTTTTAAATAATAAGTAATTACTGCTGTTTATTTGGGAGCTCGAAACAAATTTTTGTAAAATTAAAATGCTGATTTAAAGTAGTAATCAGTTTATAGAAAACCCGAGATGCCAGGGAAAAGTCGATAAACAAGGCAATGGTGACTTTGGATACAGGCGTAAAACATTCTGTGAAAAAATACGAGAAAGTAGAATTTTAATAAAAATATGCGTCTTAAGATTAAGTGCTGATTAAAACCAATACCATTCTTAGAAATATGATAATCTATCGCACGTTAAAGATTTGATTGGTTTAAGATTAACGTTTTATATTTATCACACTAAATAAAACTACCTCGTATGTCACTGGAAACAATTCGAAATAATATACAAGTAAGTAAAATGTTACTTCAGACATCGACTTGCCACATACATACGCAAACAATCATATTTTTTTTTATTTTCCAGGAAATGAAATCTTCCGTTTGGTGTCAGCCGATAACATCGCGGCAAAAACATCGCGGACGAAAACGTCGCGGAGAAAACAACGCAAGGCAAAAACGTCGTGGTACAAAATATCGTGGGAGAAAGCATCGCAAAGAGAAAACATCGCAGTTCAAAAACATCGTGGTACAAAACATCGTCGTCGAAAATAATGCGGTTCAAAAACTTCGCAGTTTAAAAACATCGTCGTCGAAAATATCGTGGTAAAATATAAAGTATCTACAAATCATCGCATGACAACTTCGCAGACATGCTTTTTTCAGGTTTTAATAATTGTAAAAGGATGTTCCCATAATGATTTGTGAGCGCAAGATGTAAAGAAGGATAATTTTTACTTTCACATTTTTTATTAACCAATAAATGTTTGCTGAAAAAGTAAGAAGGAAAACTTAAGCATAAAAAAAAATTAAATGCAAATATAGGTTATACTTTTCATGAAAAATTACCAGTAAAACTTCATAAAAAAAATGATTTATTAATGGCATTTGTTAGTTAACTATGTCGGTTTTAAAATTCTATTAATTCTATACGTTGCATTAATTTTCTATGCTTAAGTTTCATTCTTATTTTTCAGCAAAAATTTATTAGTTAATAAAAGTATGAAAGTAAAAATTATCCTTCTTTACATCTTGCGATCACAAATCAATATGGGAATATCCATTTACAGTTATTAAAGCCTGAAAGAAGCACGTCTGCAATGTTATCGTCATGCGATGATTTGTAGATACTTTATTTTTTACCACGATATTTTCGACGACGATGTTTTTGAACTGCGAAGTTTTTGAACCGCTTTATTTTCGACGACGATGTTTTGTACCACGATGTTTTAGAACTGCGATGTTTTCTCTTTGCGATGTTTTCTCCCTCGATATTTTGTACCACGACGTTTTTGCCTTGCGTTGTTTTCTCCGCGACGTTTTCGTCCGCGATGTTTTTGCCGCGATGTTTTCGGCTGTAACCCATCCGTTTAACTTTACTTACAGAATTATTCATCTGACCGAAAAATGCATATACTAAAATGAGAAAAGTTGCAGACATAAAAATTGCTTACGCGAACGCAGACATGCAGTTTGCCATGTTTTTAGATTCTGACCAAAGAAAGATTAAATTTCATACGACAATAGAAAGCTGTGGACATAATGAGAACTTTTTATCGGCTAGAGTTTTAGAGAACGTTTAATATTGTTGCGTGTGTAACGGTTTGTAACAGACAGAATGTACACGGAGCCGATGATAGCTTGGTAAAACTTAGTTTACCGAAAGAAAAATTTTACAATTCTGGAACTTTCCAGAAAAACAACTCGTACAGCTCTTCTCAGTATCACAGAGTACAGTAAGTAGTCATACCTCAAACTATTAAAAACGTTAAATGCAGTGTAATGCAAATGGCATCTAAAAGACGATGCTGACACAGATATATCTCAATACTCCGTAATCAATGCTGAACTAAACAACTGATAGATAACTGTTTCGTTCCGTTTGCCCTTGTCGTCGCGTTTAACTTGCAAAGGTGCAAGCTGTATAGACTTATAACTGATGTCCTCTCCGGGTTTATATAGTTTTCTCTCTGCCACCGAGAAGTCTCTAGTACCTTCAATTTCTCGAAATTTCTTGAAAGCATTGAGGGTCGGATACGGTTACAGTTACATATAAGGATTAATTACAATTATTCAATTACAGCTATACAGAGACCGGACCAAAATATCTCCAAATGGTCGCCATGTTTGGCAACTTTTGGCGATTTCTCGGTAAAATGGGTAACAAAAAATAGTAGCCCAAACCATCGCCAACTTGATGATTTACACAATGTTAAATAGACTTGTCCCTGTCCTGTATTTTTATTTTTCCTGCACAACTTCGTTTCTTCGGTTTTTCATGTTACATTATGGAAAAAAAAAAAGAAAAAAAAATTGCCTAAAATTATTGACATATGCACAAAATTCGTAACAATATTTTTTTTTCTTTCTTTTTTTTTTTTTTTTACGAAACCAGTTCCTAAAACTAATGCAGGAATAAATACTGTCAAAACTCGTAAATCAACTCTGAATTAAAAAAATGAGAAACTGTTGCTCTTTCCGGTCTTATATAGATTTCCCCTAAACACAGACAAATCTCTAGTACCTTTCACTTCTCTTACTGGAAGGCATACGAAAGCCGGATACGTTTACAGTTACATATATGGATCAGTTACAGTTAGTCAATTGCAGTACCAATTACAGTGGTCGCCCATCCGGTATAGTGGTTAGCTTTGCTGATTGCCGTGCCGATGGGCTTGGCTTCGAATCCTGGCGAAGGCATGGATGTTTGTACATGCATAGTGTCCTTGCGGCATGGGGGCACTCTAAATATGCGGGGAGCCGAAAGTCTCTCGAGAGGTTGGTTGTTGGGAAAGAAGGAGAGAGAAACCTTCGTAACTATTCTCCCGAGGTGCTCTCCATCAAAATTGCGAGAGGAACTGAACGACAAAAATGACGCGAGTTTGGCGACTTTTGGCAATTTCTCGCCAAATAGTGTTAAATAAATTTGCCCCTGTATTCTTATTTTTCCAGCGCACAGCTTTGTCTCTTTGAAGCCTTTCATATTACATTATATACAAAATATACTACAGTTTTGTAATTTCACTAAAATTATTTACATGCAGCCAAAATTAGTAACAATACATATATTACTTACCTCCAAGATTTAACTCCGCTGTGCCTTGAGCCATACTAAAATCGTTCGTGACAAAACATTGGTACATTCCTTTGTCTTCTCTCACAATGGGAGCGACCTGAAGCAAATCTCGTGACAAGTACCTCACTCTGCTGTTTGCCACAACCGGGTGTAGATTCTTTACCCAGGTTACGGAATGAACGGGATGTCCTTTGATCGAACAGTTGAAAATGACGGATTCACCCTCTTCAGCTGTTACTTGTTTTGGGCTTATATTTGCTTTTAAGGGGGCTAAAAGAAAATTTTTAAGAATTAATTCTTAAAATACTGTATAAAACTATATTGCAAACGTGATGTTCTTGTAACGTAACAATAAGAGCTAGAAATTATTAAAACTAAAAAATATATTGTCATAATGAGGAATAAGCAGCGTGTTATCTTAATTGAGTTGACCCATAAAGTGCAAGCTTATAGCATTACATATGATTCAATAATGTCTTTAAAAAGATAGTTTTCAGACAGAAATACATGAAATTAAGCTTTCAACATTTTATTTTGAGCACCATAAATACGAATATATCTTTTTAAAAAGTTTTGAATGAATGATATCTATCTTGAAGTAACATTATAAGATTTTTCTTCAGCCTTCTTAGCGTGCCTTCGTGGTGTAGTGGTCTGCATGCTGGGCGCGTATTGCAGAGGTCCGTGGTTCGGTTTCCGGCGAAGGTGTAGCTTATATTTCCTCTTTCCGGCTTCGAAACAATCCTAATAGCTCTACAACATACTTTGCACTTTCGTTTACTTCAGTAACTGTTAAAAATTGTTAAATGAAAAAAACATTTTGTTATAATATATTTAATTGCATAATATCAGTCATCTCTGTTTATTCACACATCCCGCTTTGCTGCAACTTTTAAATTAATTAAGATTAATTACGTATTTTGAATAGCCAATTATGTGCTAAAATTGCATGCAGCCCAAGTAATTACATTATAGAAAATTTAGGTATTTTTTGGAAGCAGGCAAGATAAAAAATGAGCAATTGCCTTCGCCGGGAATCGAACACGGACCTCTGGAATACCGGCCCAGAGTGCAGAATCACTACACCACTAAGGCACGCTAGGAAGGCCGGAGAAATACTTTATAACATTAATTAAAAGTAATTACTACATTAAAATTTAAAAAAATAAAGTAAGGAAATCCATTTTTAGCCAAAAGGAATTTTAGTTTCGAAATGGGATTTTGTGTCGAATCACTTTAAATATGCCGTCTAACTTTTCATTCGAGTCTTTTACCATTCGGTAGAATGTAAGATAAATAAGTTTTGAAACTGAATCTGTCAGTTGTGGATTAACAGACTAAGTAATTTGAAAACAATAGATGCAGTTCTTAAGAATATTCTTTTCTTACTTTTGAATCGAATTGATGTAAATGATAAAAATGCATTTAATTTGAGATGTATCTAATTAAAATATTCAGAATTTTTACAGAATGACATTACATATTTTTTAATTCTTTATTTCATATTTTGTAAAACTTAAATGAATTTTAAGTTTAACAAAACGATTTGAAAGCGAGTTGTGGCCACGCTGTATGAAATAAAACAGTTTTATTTTGAACGCTCGATACTCTCTATGGGAAATTCTAAAGATATGCTATTTTTAAATATTTTGGGATGTTCTCGTTATTTTTATACGCTATTTTTAAATATTTTGTGATTATTCGTTGAATCGAATTTTAGCACTACGGCGGGCGTAAGCACCACGAACGTGATTTTTAATAAATAAAGTAAACACACAAAATTTTAATAATAAAAAGACAAAAAGAAAAGTTTTGTAAATCATCTTAATTATAAAAGTAAAGCAATTGAAGAATTTAAAATTGATATGATGAACTGAGAAAAATGTATTTCCACACTTAACACCCCATCGGGAATTCTAAAAATATGCTGGTATCTTCTTTTAAAATATTTGTGATTTTGCTATTTAATTTTACATGGAGTAAGTACGAATAAAACACGATGCTTAATAATAAAGCTAGAGTGAGTGAGTGAATGTGATTATGGTAAAATCTCGAGGGCTATCTGCCTAAGGGGAGGGATGCCTTCGTGGAGGACTTTCTGAGGGAAACTGGCTTGTATACACGTTACACATGGGGAAAACCACGAAAACGCCCATGCAGCCAGCCCGTTCGCGGCATACGAACCTCGGACCGAACTACCAGTGCTCAGCGACTTTACCCCTCGGCCGCTGATGGGCTATAAAGCTAAAGAGATACAAAAGAGGGTGGGGCTTAACAGGAGTGAATAAAACAGCAGAATGGTAGACTGCAAAGTCAACCAGAGCGTAAAAGACCTTAACAAACCCTTTTAGGCGACCTATAAAACGTGACTAGCTGTTATGAGAATGTTCATTTCAGGTGTATATGAGTTTCATTTAATTGTATATGTGAAATCTGTATATTATTGGGATAAATTAATTTTAAAGTTTAAATCTACGTATTCATATTTTTCAAACGCAATAGTACATACCAGGATATTCGCGCAAAATTATGTATGCTTCTCTTTTATTGTTTTGCATGCCTAAATTTGTTATTCTTCGCAAACTTATTCGATGAATAATAATATGTAAACAAATATATAAACAAAATATAAAGCTTACAATACATAAACAAAATTTATCAGAAGTATTAAAAATTCAGAAAAAAAAATGCGTCTTCATAGCGAATGTAATTCAGTTCTTGCATGAAAATCAGCTTAATGGTTTCTGTAACTATAAGATTTCAACAAAAGGACTGTTTCGTACCTGTTACTAAAAGTTCTGTATCTACTCTTTCATCCGCAACACTGTTGTTGACGTAGCACACATATTTCCCGCTATCCTCTGGCTCTGCCCTTCTAATAATAAGAGTTCCACCAATCTGTACGTAACGCTGTGCTTTAGAAATACGTACAGCGAGGCTTTTGTCTAGTTTCATCCAATGTATCTGAGGAATAGGATTCCCTTCAGCAGCACATGGTAGTTCTACAGTGCTACCTTGCTTTACGACGATATTGGATCTTCTATCAATTATACGTGGTGGAAATGTGCTGTGCGGATCTGAAAAGAAAGAAAAGGCATGGAATCTTACGAAAATAATTCATAAATAATATCAAAAAATGTCATAAAGGCAATTAAAATTACAAAAATATTATCTTTTTTTGATGAGATGTCTTCAGCACTTTACATGGATTTTAATGTATGCATTGTTTAAATGGATGCAGATAAATAATTAGAAATCTCAATATTCAATGACACCCGCTCTTACGTTTGCTTACTGATGAAACAATTTTATATCGGAAACTAAGTTTTTTTTAACATCATAAACAACTTCTTTTAAAAGTAGAGATTAATAAATTACTTGACAATAAAGAAATATTACAGGCAAATGTAATAAACATGTAGATCACTGCAGATTGCGATTTTAACTGATCGTGGGTATCAGGCAATATTTCTTATAGATTATGTTATGTTGACTATTTATATGCTGTTTTTTCTTTCTAGTTTCTAATTAGCGATAAGTGTAGAACTGCTTTACGTTTGCTTGCTTGTGTGAATTTCACTTTCTTGTACGAAGTAAAAGAAATATTGTAATTGCAAAAGATTTCGGGTACCATATTTCAGAAGAACTATCCTTTTGACCCTTCCCGAATTCATTTGGACAATGTTTAGCGTGAAGTTTGTAAGGAATGAATAAAGGACTTTTGTTTACAAAACGAGTCGTAAAATGGTACCAAAAGGGATTTTATGGTGATGTCTGCACGTAAGTATTTATATATGTATGTATGTATCTCGCATAATTGAAAAACGATTAGTCGTAGTCCTTCGACTAGTCGTAGGAAATTTTGTATATGGAACTACTACAACATCTAGCTGTGCACCTCCCCTTTTTATTTCAAGCAGCAGAACCAAACCCATGTATATATAAACCCACTCCCTTACCTGCTTAAAAGTATTTACCAGGACTTTATTTTCGCAGTCGTTGGTCATAGTCATATGCTTTCAGTTACAGAAGTTTTTTTTTTTTTTTAATGACGAAACTATTCATGTTTCGGCAATATGAAATTAAATAAAATAATTTTTGTCAACAAACGAAATCTAACTTTTAATGCAAATTCCCGGTTCCTATAATTGTATTTGAGAAAGTGCCGGCCAACCAGGATAGTGGTTAGCGACGCTGACAGCCATATCGAAGGGCCCGGCTTTGAACCCGGAGAGGACATGGATCTTTGCGTCTGCACGGCATGGAGGAAGGATCTCTAAATATGCGGCGAGCCGAAAGTACTCTCCAGTAGTTGATAGTTGGGGAAGAGGGGTGACAGATCTGTGGATCCATCCCCTTGGGTTGCTCTCCTTTAAAACTGGGGGGGGGGAACTGAACAAAGTCGCACTGTGACCTGTATGGTGCTCAAGGCTGTTATCAACGACAGCCGCAATCCTGAACTCCTTGCCGCGATGAATTTCGTTGCTCTGATATTATTGTCAGACAAGTGAGATAAGTCACAACAATGTTTGAGAAAGTTTTATACTCGAAATGAAAAAATAGAATTAGAAGAAGTTTGGATCCTGTACAAGAGAAAATGACCGTGATAAAGTAGTTCATGACTAATATAGTGATATATTAGTCACGAGCCAATTTATCATATAGATATAATGTGACATAAATCTCGATTCACACAAAGAGAATATCAGTTTCTTCTTTTCTAGAAAAATTTAAGCTTAACAGTGTTTCAATAGTCGCAATTATTAAATAAACGTATTTCGTGAGACAAGCGGACAAAATAAATCTGAAAAATGCTATTCATTCGTTAAAAAGATTTGCAGAATTTCATGCGGTCCTTTTCGGCTGTGTCTAATTTGAAATCTAGAATTGAGTTTTTTATAAAGGCCGTCATTCTTGTTGACTCTAAGTCGGCCGTGGAGGCAATAGCTCTTCAACACCACTCTGAACCTCCACTTGTGCCAAGAATGAAACAAGGTATCTGGAAACTAAATAGGAACAGTAGAACAGTAGAATTTCAGTAGATACCATCCAACGTAGATATTGATGGTAATGAAAAAGCAGATCTCTTGAAAAAAGAGGGTTATGAAGTTATTTATTAAACAGAGTTCCATGCCTTTGGATTCCCTTAGATGAAGTATTCGAGAAAATCTTGTGTCAGCTTACAGCTCAGAACTATCAATTAAATCGAAGCTTAAATTCTGGGAGAATATCAGGAATGACTGGAATGAGTTCAGTCGCAGGTCACGTAGAGAGGCTGTGGCTAATTTCACACTGCGCACTGGGCACGACTGCTTAGCCGGGCATCTCAGCAGAATAGGCATACTGACTGATAGCCAATTCCCTGTTTGTAAAATAGGCACTATGAAGAAGAAGCACTTGCTCCTCTGTCCGGGCATTGACCCTAAGTTACAACCTATTAGTGATGTCCTCCAGATGTATTGGATGGCCAGAGATCTTATGTCCTCAGCGATCTTATGTCGCCTCTAATCATTATTGTTGTTGCTTATGCTCACTTGTCTGACGTAGTCAGAGAAGTAGTCAGACGAAGCTCACGCAATTCCTCGCTGCAAGGAGCGCAGCATTACGCCTGTCGTTGGGAACAGCCTTCAGCACCCAACAGGTGACAGTGTGATTTGGCTCAGTACCACTCCACCCCCAATTTTGTTGGAGAGCACACCGAAGGAACGGGTCCGAAGGTCTTCCACCCCTCTCCCCTTCAACCAAACCACACGAGAGGACTTTCGGCTCGCTGCATATTTAGAGTCCCGCCATGCCGCACTGACACTATACATTTACAAATATCCATGCCTTCTCTGGAATTCGAACCCGGGATCTTCGGCACGGCAATCAGCGACACTAACCATTATACTAGTTGGACGGCTCTGAGGATACTTAAACGATTGTTATTGTGAAATTGTTGTGTTAATTTTTTAGTATTGTAAAAATTTTGGGGCTGTAATTCTCAAGTGTTTTTAACATGTTCTTGATGTAATATTGAATTTATTTCCTTTTTTCTTTTTTTCTAGTTGCCTCATGTAAATGGATGGATTTCCGAATAAAGCCATAAGAAACAACAGAGTTTCAGAATAATAACAAGAAAGAACTTTATATTTTGCAATTTTCAAGCTAAAATCATTATGCATGTCAATTCCTTAATTCAAATATTTTAAAAATGAATATAAAAATATTTCGTTTTGTAAGGAAACTTATATTAACTCACTTATTTTTAAAAAAAATTTTGGAGATTATTCAAGTTTTGCTGCATATAAATTAATCGATATTGCACAATTTCAGAAAGCTTAGAACGAATCTTTCTAGAAATTTCCGAGCTTAAGATAAACGACTGTAGATAGACAATATGTGCTTCTACTGTTAAACTCGCAGTGTCATTGAGGCACATGTAAACTGTTTATTCTTAGATACAGTGTCTCATATTCCAGTGAAAATATCATCAGAATAGTAACGTCGTAACCGTATCTAGGTATAGTAATCTATAATGATAGGCATCTAAAATATTTGTCTTTCTTTGGCGAAAGTTATGTAAGTCTAGTCATGATTATAAACAATGCCGTTACAGCATTAGTGTTACGATCACAACTAGAATTTATGTTTTGAACTTTAATCGTATTCATATGTTGCATGAACTGAATTTCATATGTTGGCATTATATCAGTAGAAAGCATTTGCATTCAGAATTTCGTTACGTTTTGAAATATTCTTTGTATTATACTGTTGGAAAAGAAAGTTACTTTGTACTGGCATTTGAAGATCTTTCAAGTCTCATGCTTTTACAGACGTCAAGTCTCATGCTTTTACAGACGTTATACGATTTTCATTTTAATTACAGAAATATTTTACCGAAGATTTTTATGTTTTAAATGTTCTGTTTGATAACTCTTATTCGTCACTATGTTTATACACCGTAATTTTCAGAACAATAAAACCTTTTGTGGTATCAGAAGAGGTATTTCATCCCATTGCTCCCAAACAGCTTTCCAACGTCTAAGGGAGTTGTAGATCGTCGTTTGGCAACTCGCTTTTAAAAGTCTAGAAGCGCAAAAACACATGGCTGATAGATCATGAGATTTATAAGTTACATGAATGAAGGTAGGGCCTTGATACTCTTTTCTGTTCGATTTTTTTCTAGGAAATTAATAGTAGATTGTGTTGTTGCTTCCTTTGTCTTGATGCAGTCCTACTGATTGATCACACTGCGTGTAAAGAGAAAGTACTTCATGTTTGAAACTTAGGTATAAAATATGCTTTTTATAATATATGGAGTTCATTTTAACATTTTCCTCCACTCTCTTTATTTTTAATTTGGCGTTATATGAAAAACCAGTAACAATCATAAATATCTAAGAAAAACTTTCTCTAGATACCATGAACTATGCTTTATGATTTTTCTTCTTCTCTTTAATGATAATAAATGGATCTCCTTTTGCTGTTGCCATTTAAAGAATCATCTCTTGTGACAACAGTTTTACATTTTTGTAGGAATAATTGTTTCTCATAGAGAATTCTGCAGGGCGCTATGTCGCGGAGAAAGATGATGCACATTACGTCTTTTTGCCTTTTAAGATTGGAATCAACATAATTCACATCGATTACAGTTGACACTGAGTAATTTAATGATTTTGAAACTGTATTTTGACTTGGCGGATTTTCATTTAACATTAGAGGTCTTACTTTTGCAAAATTCGAAACATTCCATTTTCTCCTTGGGTACGTATTTGGAACAATTTTCTCACTTAAAGCTAAATTTTGACGTTTTTGCCTTTAATGGTTGACAACATTACCAATCGTAGCTTTAGATATCGAAAAACAATTGGAGGGTCATTAGGGTTGTTCTGATACGGAAGACACGAAACATTAGCAATGCCCCCGCCGGGACTCGAACCTGGACCTGTCGAATACGCGCCGAGTGCGCTAACCGTTACGCCACAAAAGCATGCAGAAAATTCCTTATATACGCCTTTTTTTAAAGGGCGACTGGGGTTTTAGGGAAACCAATCGCCAAGCCCTGATGGGGAAGTTTCATCATCCACTACCTTTA